TGCAAATGGTAAAAGATTGCTCACATTCACTGCATTTATAGGGCTTTTCTCCAGTGTGAACTCTCTCATGACGCCGAACCTCACTGCTAGTCATAAAAGATTTCGCACATTCATTGCATTTATAAGGCTTTTCTCCCGTGTGAACTCTCTGATGACAACGAAGATAACTGCTAGTGGTAAAGGATTTCCCGCACTGACTGCATTTATAAGGCTTTTCTCCAGTGTGAACTCTCTGATGACGGCGAAGATCACTGCTAGTGGTAAAAGATTTCCCACATTCACTGCATTTAGAAGGCTTTTCTCCAGTGTGAACTCTCTGATGACACCGAAGGCAACTACTACTGGCAAAAGATTTCCCGCATTCACTGCATTTATAAGGCTTTTCTCCAGTGTGAACTCTCTGATGACGACCAAGATCAGTGCTAGTGGTAAAAGATTTTGGACAGTCACTGCATGTGTAACGCCTTTCGCCAGTGTGTAAACTTTGGTGATTACAGAGGCTACTGCTCCGGGTAAAAGATTTCCCACATTCACTGCACTCATAAGGACTTTCTCCAGTGTGAAGTCTCTGATGACAATGAAGGCTATGCATTGTCGTAAAAGATTTCCCACATTCACTACATTGGAAAGGCTTTTCTCCAGTGTGAACTCTCTGATGACGATGAAGGGTAGTGTTACTGGTAAAATAATTCCCACATTCACTGCACTGATAAGGCCTTTCTCCAGTGTCAACTCTCTGATGACAACGAAGGCCACTGCTATTGGTAACAGTATTTCTATATTCACTGAACTCATAAGGGTTTTCTCCAGTGTGAACTCTCTGTTGATAATGAAAGCTAGAAAATTTGGTAAAATAATTTCCACATTCACAGCACAGAAAACACTGACTTCCAGCATGGAAACATTTATCCTGTATAAACGTGTGATTGCAGCCAATGACTTTGTTATATTCTTTTCTTGTGTAGTTTTTTTTTCTCCTTTGAAACTTCACCCCACACTTCAAAATATCATTTGGCCTGTCCCTGGTTTGAGTAGCCATTAGGTGGAGATGTCCTGACCAGGAATGTATACCCTGACCAACCTCCCCACAGGTGAAATGATTTTGAGACACCTTGAAATGGCAGCTATTTGCAAGTGAGATCCTTTCCACGCCTCTAATGGAAGTTTTCTCTCTCACATGCTGCTGGTGACATTTTGCACTGAAATAAAATTGTTTTTCACATGCCCCACACCTCAACAGTATCTGTCTGTATTGTGTTCCCTGCAGCTCCATCATGTGGAAAATCTTTCCCCAAACTAGTCCACAACTGTCACAGGGGTGGCTCTTCTGGGAAGACAAGGATAACTGTGGAATCCTTTCCTGTGACAATTTTACAGAAATCTTCTGTTCAGTCGCTGCCTCCACATTCTCTGCTCCACAGCAGCAACCTGAACAAAAGAAAACGCTGGTGAGGTACCTGCTGACCTTATGAAAACAGAGTATCTTCACCACAAATGTTTATCGGTCATGACTAGGCCTGATGCCGTGGACTCTGAGGAAATGGCGGTTATACACTTCTTGGCCCCAATGGTCAGTCAGTGGTGAAAATCTCCCCCAAGGGAAGGACGGAAGCACAGGACGGGACACAAAGAAGAGAGGAAGGGTCTGCTAGTTGTTCCTCCAGAAATGGCTTCTGATAGGACATTTCATGCTGGTTATGTGAGTCTGTGTATAATAATTCGAATGTGCTCAAATCCATAAAAATCAATTGTATTAGAGCACATGATGTTCTACCTCAATACAGTAATAGGTGTGCACTCTAAGGCTCTGCAGGCATGAACCAACAGTGGAGGGCACTAAAGAGAGACCTGTGAAAGTTTAGAGAGGTTAGGTTTATCCAAGGACTGGGAATCCGAGTAGAATAAGCACTGATCACTATTAAAACTGAGTTGTTGACAAAGTGTCAACAAGAAGCAAGGACAAGTAGAATTGGGTGAGAAATGAGCAATGGTAACAAAACACTGTTGAACCAAATGGGTTCCTAGTTATGAATGTAACAAAGCCCAGGTGTAAAAACCTCCCCAACAGCCCTTTACTCAGGCAAGATAGCCTGTTGATCCATTGTGTCATTCATAAAGTCATGTTTCTACTGTGATGCAGAAATGATTATTCCACTTAATTCCCAGTAGAGTTATTGCACAGGATAAATGATAGAAATTGTAAAAGAAACATTGAAAAGATCGATGGTTAACACTGTGGTACAACAGGGAAACACAGATGAGATCACAGGCAAAAGAGCTATGGGAGTGACATCATCAAGAGGGCAGAATCGTAGATATGAGAATCTTTCTCCATCCCAGAGTAAGTAGACAGCTATTCATGAACAAAAACCCACAGAAAATGGGAATAAGAGTACAATGAAGACAAACAGTATTACAGAACACCAAATAAGGACAACTGCATAGAACAAATGACTGGAAAGACTAGGTGAACAAACGTATTTGAAAACAGCTAAAGTCCAGAGAAACAACGTCCAGACTTATCTCTATCAACCACTGTGCTTCTGTTATCATTCACCATAGTGGTCTATTATTCAAAAAATACTGGAAATTTTCTTTTTAAAAATCAAAGAATGGCTCTAGCCAGTTTGGCACAGTGGGTAGATCATAGGCCTGCAGACTGAAAAGTCCCAGGTTGGATTCCAACACTAGGGTTCCAAATTCAAGTCCGGTCAAGAGCACATGCCCAGGATTTGGACTTGATCCCCAGTAGGGGGCGTGCAGGAGGCAGCCAATTATGATTCTCTCTCATCATTGATATTTCTCTCTCCTTCTTCCTTCCTGTCTGAAATCAATAAAAAATATAATAAAAAACCAACAACCACAGAATACCCTGGCCAGTGTGGCTCAGTTGGTTGGAGTATCATCCCACACACCAAAAGGTTGCAGGTTTGATTCTAGGTCAGGGCACATACCCAGGTTGCAGATTCATCCCTAGTTGGAGTACATGAGGGAGGTAGTCATTTGGTGTTTCTCACATCGAGGTTTCTCTCTCTCTCTCTCCCTCTCTCTCTCTCTCTCTCTCTCTCTCTATCTCGGTCTCGGATTTGATTCCCAGTCAGAGCACATATCAGTATGCAGGTTCCATTTCCACTTAGGATATGTGTGTACACAATCGATTGATATTTCTTCCTCATACTGATGTATGTTTCTCTCTCACTCTCTGCCCCCCGCCCCCACCTCTCTTCCTCTCTATCTGAAACTGAATATAAAAAACAAATAAGAGCCCTAGCAGGTTTGTGGCTCAGATTAGAGCATTGGCTTGCGGACTGAAGGGTCCCAGGTTTGATTCCAACCAAGGGCACATGCCTGGGTTGCGGGCTCAATCCCCAGTAGGGGACATGTTGGAGGCAGCCGATCAATGATTCTCTCTCATCATTGATGTTTCTCTCTCCCTCTCCCTCTCCCCTCTCTGAAATCAAGAACGGAATATATTAAATAAATAAATAAGAATTCCAAGGTAGTCAAATAAAAAAGAGAACTCAAAAAGGTCTAGGGACAAAGTAAATAAAAAGACTCCTACCAAAGCTCATGTATAAAATTCAGAAAATGCAATTCTAAGAGGAAATTTTATAGGGATAAATGCCTACAATATGAAAAAAGACCTAAAAAAAAATACTTGTACCTCAGAAAACTAGAAACACAACAAGAAAGTAAACCCAAAGACAAAAGAAACAATAAATATTAGAAAACATAAATAAAAAGAACACAAGACAAAATGCAAGAATACCTAACAGGTATTTTTTGAAAGATACAATATTGGAAAAACTTTAACTACACTAACAGGAAAAAAAACCCTGAAACAAAAACCAAGCCTCAAATAAACTGTAAAGAAATGAAAGTAAAGACATTTCACCTGACACTATGAACCACAATGCATAATAAGAGATGTTGATATTAGCAGATGACATGACCTTCCATAGAGAAATTTGTCAAGATCTATGAGCTTCTGAAATTAATAAACAAATTCAGAGGCCTGGGCAGGTAGCTCACTTGGTGAGTGTGTAGTCCCTATGCACCAATGTTGTAGGTTTGATCCCCCATCAGGGCACATGCAGGGGAGAGCCAGTAATGCATAGATGGGTAGAATAGCAGATTAATGTTTGCCACTCTCTCTTTCACTGTCTCGCTTCCTGTCTTTAAAATCTATATATATAAAAGCCTAAGTGACCAGCTGACAGGCTGACCAGCTGATACCTATGATGTGCACTGACCACCAGAGGGCATATGCTCAACACAAGAGCAGAAACCCCAGGCATTAAAACATGGAACAGACTGATGAATCACAGAGGGAAAGGAAACAGGAGAGGGAAGGAAGAGATTACCAAGGATATTATATGCATATTAGAGGTCCAGTGCATAGATTCATGCACCAGGAGAATTCCTCGGCCTGGCCTCCAGGGTTTGGGCCGAAACCACCTCTCTGACATCCCCTGAGAGGTCCTGGAATGCAAGAGGATACAGGCCAGGTTAAGGGACACCCCCCCACACCCCCCCAGTGTACAAATTGACGCACCAGGCTTCTAGTAAATAAATAAAGGATGACTAGTATGGCTCAGTGATTAAGCATCAACCCATGAACCACTGGTAGGAGGTCACAATTCAATTCATTGTTCAGGCAGATGCACAGGTTGTGAGCTCAATCACCAGTACGGGTAGTGAAGGAGGCAATCCATCAATGACTCTCTGTCATCACTCCTGTTCCAATCTCTGTCTTCCTCTTCCTCTATAAAATCTATATATATATATATTTTATACAACAAATAAATAGCCCTGGCCCATGTTGCTCATTGGTGAGAATGACAGCCTGTGCACTGGAAGATCATGGGCTAGATTCCCAGTCAAGGGCAGGTACCCTGGCTGCAAGTCTGATACCGCTACCATTATGGGAAAATGTGGAAGGCAACCAAGTGATGTTTCTCTCTCTCTGTCTCTCTCAATTTTCTCTCTCGGAAAGAAAATCAATGGAAAAAATATTCACACTACCTGAGTGAAGATAAAAAAAGAATAAAGAATTCAGAAAAGTTACAGGATGCAAAATAAACATACAAACATTAGTTCCATTTCTACACATTAGTAATAAATTCTTTGATAGAAAAATGAAGATAGCCTTAAGCGGTTTGGCTCAGTGGATGGAGCGTCGGCCTGCGAACTGAAAGGTCCCGGGTTCGAATCTGGTCAAGGGCATGTACCTTGGTTGTGGGCACATTCCCAGTGGGGGTCGAGCAGGGGGCGGCTGATCGATGTTTCTCTCTCATCGATGTTTCTAACTCTATCCCTCTCCCTTCTTCTCTATAAAAAAATCAATAAAATATATTTAAAAAAAAGAAAAAGAAAAAAAAGAAAAATGAAGATAGTCAAATTTAAAATAGCATGAAAAAAAATAAGATAAAATATAAATAAATGTGACCAAAAGGTGGAACATCTATACAACGAACCCAATAATCCTATATAATAAAGAGCTAATATGAAAATGGTCATCACACCCTCGTGCTGTAACGACTCAGACACTAAACACTGGGGAAGGACACGAAGGGGAGGCAGTTGGAGGAGATCAAACTGGCAGGGGGAGCAGTTGGAGGCAATCAGGCCAGCGG